GTTTTTTACAAATTTTTCCTTCTTATGGTTTTTTTTAAAAAAAAAAAAAAAAAAAAAAAAAAAAAAAAAAAAGAGTCTTTGCTCTCTGCCTGTCGTGTCTGGGCCTATGAAGGCGTTAAAGATTCATCCCAGGGTGTGCTGGTGCAGGTCGGACCAGCTCTGCACGGTGTTCCAAGGGCTGGTGGAGCACCAGGGATGCGTCTGGAAAAGGTGGTGCCGCGGGGGATGTGCCGAGCGTGCTGCGCCCCGCGGGAAGCGACAGTGCCAGCCTGCCTGGTGTCCCTTCAGCGGGGTCAGCACGCCCGGGTCTGGCAGGGCATGTCTGAAACTTGCTCCTGATGAGACACTCGAGTCGCTTTTATTTTAGCAGCCAGCGATTTAACCCCTGAAGGAGGCTGAATGCATCCTGTGATGGGAGACAGAGGGATATTGTGCAAGACAATTCTGCAGTGAGCGTGGCAACCTTTTTACACAAGCAGGGTGAAATCCAGCCCTGGGCAGGGCACAAACCCCCCAGAGCAGCCTGAGCATCCCCCCCGTGCCTTGTGGCTTCTCCGCCTGTGAGAGGGGTGAATCTCAGGCTGCACGGGCTGTGGCTGGGTGACGAAAACGCTCCCTCTGTCCGCGGCAATAAGTGCTGGAAATGGAGGTAGCGGAGACAAGCCCCCTCTCCCTGACGGCAGCTCCGACAGCCCACGCCTGGCAAGGCAGGACTAAAGCCACGCCTTACCTGTGCTCGTGGCTGTCTCACACCGCGGAGAGAGAGAGAGCCTGGACTAAAAACCACAGCGCCGGGGTGAGAAAAAGAGATGGTGGCGGCTCTGCCACCGACACGCATCCCGGGCACCGGCGCTGCCCGCTTTGATGGAGCGTGCCAGGTCCCTCCTCGCCAATCTCCAGGAAATCGATGTAAACACTCCGGCAGCTCTTTGAGAGCTTCCTTCCCCTGCTCGAAAAGAGACACAGACCCTCGTGCTTGAGGATGCCGCACAGATTATCTAGTCAGGGGTCGTGATTATCTCGTCAGGCTCCGCGGTGTTTAATTAAGTTGTTTACCGTGCTCTGGAGCTGGCGGTCTCCATCCCGCCTGGAAAGGCGCCCTGGCGCCCACGGCGGGCCGGGAGCAGCGGCTCCTGCCTCCCTGAGAGCGCCCGGGCACACCGGGGAGCCTGCGGGAGGATGCTCGGCGGGGATGAGGGTTAATCCCGCTCCGCACAGAGCCCCTTTGTGCCGGGCGCTGACCCTGCCAAGCCTCGCTGTTGCCAGGGCGGTGTGAGAGCCCGGGGCACTGGGCTCTCACAGGGTTTGCTGTCGCCGTGCTGGGGACGGCTGCCAAGGTCCCGCGAGGTGCTGCCCTGGTTTCCTGCAGCGCTTTTGGGTGACAAGCACCCAAATATTCCATCTCTTCACCCAAAGCAAGCTCCTACCAACCAAACCAAACCCCCGAAAAGAAAATATTCATGTGTTTCACTGTTATTACTGCTAAGTGCAAGAGGGAATGCACCTTGAAAACCATCTGCTTCCAGCCCTTGCCATGGGCAAGGACACCTTCCACTCTCCCAGGCTGCTCCATCCAGCCTGGCCTTGGACACTTCCAGGGATCCAGGGACTGGATCTGGGCACCCTGTGCTAGGGCCTCCCCATCTTCACAGACAGGAATTCCTTCCCAATATCCCATCCAACCCTGCCCTCTTTCAGTTTGATCCCTTTCCCCTTGTTCTGTCACTCCGTCCCTTGTAAATGGTGTCTCTCCATCTTCCTTGCCAGCCCGTTCAGGTCCTGCAGGGCCACAATTAGGTCACCCCAAATCTTCTCCTCTCCAGGCTGAGCACTCCTGACTGTCTCAGCCTTTCCTCATGGGAGGAGAGCTCCAGCTCCCTGATCATCTCGGTGGCCTCCTCTGGCCTGGCTCCACAACTCAGTGGCCCAGGTGTCCGAAGAGACCGGCCAGTGGCCGTGCCACCGCCGAGGGGCTGGAGCTGTGGAGGGGCAGCCTCAGATCCTGCCTCATTCCCAGGCAGGGCGGGTGCCGGCAGCGCTCCCACGGCGCGGGGTTTGTGCGCCTCGGCCTCAGCCTGAGGCTGGCACGGACACCTGTGCTCTGTTCCCACTTTGCTCTTTGCTGGCCACTCCAGGGCTGGAGCCCCTGTGCTGAGGGCCACACCAGGAGCCGGGCATGTCACCGTGTGCTCGGCTGCAGTGACACCTTGGAGCACGCTGCCACACATCGGCCCCGTCTGAGAACACCCTCGCCCAAACTGCCCCGTATGTCGGCACTGGGCTTTGCCCAGGATGCCCTCAAGTGTCCCTGGCTGCGTGTTTGTCACCTGGGGACAAACAGCAGTGGGGAAAACCCCCACACTGCACAGAGAGCACACGGGCGCAGTTTCCCTGGGAGGTTTTAACAATAACTGCTCATGTTCCTATTCCTCTTTCTGCTCGCTGTTTCCATCCTTCCACAGGCACAAGCTTCTATTAAATACCTTCCTGCTCACAGGGTAACCAGATGGGAACATCCATTTTAATCCTAGACAGCAAAACAGTAGAGTTACAGATTACTATGCCACCAGAAATTGCTTATACACCTTCGTTTCCTCCCATGTAATTCCCTGGGAGTTTTAATTTACGGGACCATTTTTTATTTTTTCTCACCACTTCCCTCGCATCAGGCAGGGTTCCTTCAGCTCCAACAAAGCAGCATGCTTGTCTGGAGGGATCAATAACTATTGAGCTATCGCGCTTCCTCCACTTAGACTGTTGAAGCAGCTTCCTTTAATTGCTCTTTCACACAGTAAATACAGCATACGGTGAATTTTTTTTCCTTTGAGGCTGCTCAGTGGGTGAAGGCACCCGCGGGTAGGAAGAGCCAGCTGCCTCACCTGTGATCCATCTGCTGGGAACGCCTCCGGAGCGGGGACACGAGGAGGCTGCCAAGCCCCGGGGGCCAAAGCGGGCCCAGAACGGTGCCACGGGAGGATGGCTCGCTGCAGACCCGCAAACCCGCAGGTTAAAAATGATCGGCGAATGCTCGCCGGGCACGGGCAGGGGAAAGGGCAGAAAGCCCAGCCAGGAGGGTCTGGCTGCTCAACACCCTCCGCTGCGAGGGGTGCCCCGAGGTGGGGACCAGGCGGGATCCCCCTCCCTCGGCTCCTCGCAGGGGCTGGGGCAGAAGGGGAGAACCAGATCCAGGGAGCGGGGAGCGGATCCCCTGGGCGGCTCCTCCCGGGACTGGCGAGGGATCACCGGGCTCACCGGGCTCCTCCCGGGGATGGCGAGGGGGACCGGACCTCTCCGTGCCTCCCCCGCCCCGGGAATGGCGAGGGGGGTCCGGACCCCTGGGGCGGCTTTCCCCGGGAATGGCGAGGGGGGAGCGGGGGGTCCCGATCCCTGGGGCGGCTTTTCCCGGGGATGGCGAGGGATGACTGGACGGACCCCTTGGTGGTTCCTCCCGGGGATGGCGAGAGGGGTTCGCACCCCTCCGTGCGGCTTTCCCTGAGACTGGCGAGGGCTGACCGGACCCCCGGGCGGTCCCTCCCCGGAACGGGTGGGGGGACCCGATGCCGGGGGCGGCTTTTCCCGGGGATGGCGAGCGAGGAGGGGACCCCCGGGCGGCTCCTCCCGCGGATGGCGCGGGGGGCTCCGACCCCTGCGGCGTCTTTCCGCGGGGATGCGAGGGATGCCCGGAGCCCCGGCGGTGCCTCCCGGGGCTGGGGGGGTTGGCGGCGGCCGGCCCCGCCCCCCGCAGGTGCCGGCGGGGCCCGGGGGTGACGTCAGGCGGGGCGGGCGCGGTGCCGGTGCCGGTCGGGCCATGGCGGAGCGGTGTGTGCCTGTATGTGCCCTGTCTGTCTGTCTTTCTGTCCGGGCGGTGTATGCCTGTATATGCTCTGTATGTGTGTCCAGCCTGTGTGCGCCCTGTCTGTCTGTCCGGGCGGTGTGTGCCTGTATGTGCCCTGTCTGTCTGTCTTTCTGTCCGGGCGGTGTATGCCTGTATATGCTCTGTATGTGTGTCCAGCCTGTGTGTGCCCTCGGGGGCGGGGGGCGCGGCCGTGCCCCGAGCGGGACCGCCCGCGGCAGCGACCCCGGCAGCGGCGCCGGTGTCGCCTCGTCCTTCCCGTGCCGCGGAGCCCCTGCCCGGAACGGAGGGGTTCAGCCCCGAGGGAGCGGCGGCTCGCTGCCCGCGCGGGCGAGCGGGGACGCCGGCGTTGCTTCTCCGCCGTTCCACGCGGGCTCGGTGCGTCTTTGTGTGCCCCGGGGGCTTCTTCGGGAGCCGTGCCCTGTCTGTGTGTCCGTGCCCCGCGGGTCTGACCGTGCCCGAGTGTCTGTGTGTGCCCTGTCTGTCTGTCTGTCTGTCCGGGCGGTGTATGCTCTGTATGTGTGTCCAGCCTGTGTGCGCCCTGTCTGTCTGTCCGGGCGGTGTGTGCCTGTATGTGCCCTGTCTGTCTGTCTTTCTGTCCGGGCGGTGTATGCCTGTATATGCTCTGTATGTGTGTCCAGCCTGTGTGCGCCCTGTCTGTCTGTCCGGGCGGTGTGTGCCTGTATGTGCCCTGTCTGTCTGTCTGTCCGGGCGGTGTGTGTCTCTATGTGCCCCATTTGCCCACACGGTCCCTCGGTGTCCGTACGTGCCCGGCGAGCCCACATGTGCCGTGTGTGCCCATGGTCCCTGTGGGTCTGTACCCGCCCTGCGAGTCCGGACGTGCCCCGGGGTGTCTCCATGAGCTGTATCCATCTATCCAGAGGTGCCGTGATGGGCTGTACCCCCCCTGTGTGCCCACATGTCCCCTGTGAACAGGGTCTGTGTGTCCCACAGGTGCCCCATGGCCGTGCAGGTCCTGTGTGTGCCACTCGTGCCCCATGGCTCTGTGGTTCCTGTGTGCCACTCATGCCCCATGGCTCTGTGGTTCCTGTGTGCCACTCATGCCCCATGGCTCTGTGGTTCCTGTGTGCCACTCATGCCCCATGGCTCTGTGGTTCCTGTGTGCCACTCATGCCCCATGGCTCTGTGGTTCCTGTGTGCCACTCATGCCCCATGGCTCTGTGGTTCCTGTGTGCCACTCATGCCCCATGGCTCTGTGGTTCCTGTGTGCCACTCATGCCCCATGGCTCTGTGGTTCCTGTGTGCCACTCATGCCCCATGGCTCTGTGGTTCCTGTGTGCCACTCATGCCCCATGGCTCTGTGGTTCCTGTGTGCCACTCATGCCCCATGGCTCTGTGGTTCCTGTGTGCCACTCATGCCCCATGGCTCTGTGGTTCCTGTGTGCCACTCATGCCCCATGGCTCTGTGGTTCCTGTGTGCCACTCATGCCCCATGGCTCTGTGGTTCCTGTGTGCCACTCATGCCCCATGGCTCTGTGGTTCCTGTGTGCCACTCATGCCCCATGGCTCTGTGGTTCCTGTGTGCCACTCATGCCCCATGGCTCTGTGGTTCCTGTGTGCCACTCATGCCCCATGGCTCTGTGGTTCCTGTGTGCCACTCATGCCCCATGGCTCTGTGGTTCCTGTGTGCCACTCATGCCCCATGGCTCTGTGGTTCCTGTGTGCCACTCATGCCCCATGGCTCTGTGGTTCCTGTGTGCCACTCATGCCCCATGGCTCTGTGGTTCCTGTGTGCCACTCATGCCCCATGGCTCTGTGGTTCCTGTGTGCCACTCATGCCCCATGGCTCTGTGGTTCCTGTGTGCCACTCATGCCCCATGGCTCTGTGGTTCCTGTGTGCCACTCATGCCCCATGGCTCTGTGGTTCCTGTGTGCCACTCATGCCCCATGGCTCTGTGGTTCCTGTGTGCCACTCATGCCCCATGGCTCTGTGGTTCCTGTGTGCCACTCATGCCCCATGGCTCTGTGGTTCCTGTGTGCCACTCATGCCCCATGGCTCTGTGGTTCCTGTGTGCCACTCATGCCCCATGGCTCTGTGGTTCCTGTGTGCCACTCATGCCCCATGGCTCTGTGGTTCCTGTGTGCCACTCATGCCCCATGGCTCTGTGGTTCCTGTGTGCCACTCATGCCCCATGGCTCTGTGGTTCCTGTGTGCCACTCATGCCCCATGGCTCTGTGGTTCCTGTGTGCCACTCATGCCCCATGGCTCTGTGGTTCCTGTGTGCCACTCATGCCCCATGGCTCTGTGGTTCCTGTGTGCCACTCATGCCCCATGGCTCTGTGGTTCCTGTGTGCCACTCATGCCCCATGGCTCTGTGGTTCCTGTGTGCCACTCATGCCCCATGGCTCTGTGGTTCCTGTGTGCCACTCATGCCCCATGGCTCTGTGGTTCCTGTGTGCCACTCATGCCCCATGGCTCTGTGGTTCCTGTGTGCCACTCATGCCCCATGGCTCTGTGGTTCCTGTGTGCCACTCATGCCCCATGGCTCTGTGGTTCCTGTGTGCCACTCATGCCCCATGGCTCTGTGGTTCCTGTGTGCCACTCATGCCCCATGGCTCTGTGGTTCCTGTGTGCCACTCATGCCCCATGGCTCTGTGGTTCCTGTGTGCCACTCATGCCCCATGGCTCTGTGGTTCCTGTGTGCCACTCATGCCCCATGGCTCTGTGGTTCCTGTGTGCCACTCATGCCCCATGGCTCTGTGGTTCCTGTGTGCCACTCATGCCCCATGGCTCTGTGGTTCCTGTGTGCCACTCATGCCCCATGGCTCTGTGGTTCCTGTGTGCCACTCATGCCCCATGGCTCTGTGGTTCCTGTGTGCCACTCATGCCCCATGGCTCTGTGGTTCCTGTGTGCCACTCATGCCCCATGGCTCTGTGGTTCCTGTGTGCCACTCATGCCCCATGGCTCTGTGGTTCCTGTGTGCCACTCATGCCCCATGGCTCTGTGGTTCCTGTGTGCCACTCATGCCCCATGGCTCTGTGGTTCCTGTGTGCCACTCATGCCCCATGGCTCTGTGGTTCCTGTGTGCCACTCATGCCCCATGGCTCTGTGGTTCCTGTGTGCCACTCATGCCCCATGGCTCTGTGGTTCCTGTGTGCCACTCATGCCCCATGGCTCTGTGGTTCCTGTGTGCCACTCATGCCCCATGGCTCTGTGGTTCCTGTGTGCCACTCATGCCCCATGGCTCTGTGGTTCCTGTGTCCCACTCGTGCCCCATGGCTCTGAGGTTCCTGTGTCCCCACTCGTGCCCCATGGCAGTGCAGGTGCTGTGTGTGCCCACTCATGCCATCTGTGTCCCTCCGTGCAGACTCATGGGTTCACACAGGCAAACCCAGTGCCTGGTGGGTCCCTGGAGCCCTTCCCTGTGCCCAGAGAGAGAAAATTCTTCTCTCCTCTGCCCTGCTCCAAGGCAGGCTGCATTTGCCCTCAGTCAGGTTTATTTCCTCTCACCTGAGCCAGACCCTCGGGGGAGGTGGCATCGGGCTTTACTGGCATCGGACATGCCTGGCGTGTGGGGAAGGTGAGTTTGGCTGGGGAGATCCATCCCGGGCTGCTGTGGTGTGAGGACCAGACAGGGGGAGGCAAACCTGACCCTGGCGTGGCAGTGGCTCTGCTGGGCTGCCCCTCCACCCCGAGGTGTGGGGCTGGGTGGGGGAGAGGGTCCCCAGGCTGAAGTGTGCATCCAGAACTCAGCCTTTGCTGGGTGTCAGAGAAGCTGGGGTGCCTCTGCCTGCCCGGGCTGTGTGCCTGGGGACATGGTGGCCCCAGGAGGGGATGTGCAGTGTCCAGGGTTTCTCTTGTCCTGGGTAGTGGACACACAGAGCTTGGCTGCTGCCGAGGGAGGGGGTCTCGTCTCTGCAGTCAGCTGTGTTTTGCTGGCTCCTCACAGTTAATTAGACACGACTAATCCTATCTGGCGCTGGGAACTTCCCAGCAAACCACAGTGCTTTTCCCTCTCCCGGTCTGAGCAGGATCCCAGCCTCCTGCAGAACGAGGCCTGGGGACAGGGACATCTTTTTGAGCCCCTTGGATGTGGTTGGGGTGGCAGCTCAGAGGTGCAGTGCACTGACCTTGCAGAGGCTGGACAGGTGTCCGTCAGGTGGAAGGTGACAAGCCCTGTGGAGGATTGCAGGGAAAGTAAGGGCTGTAAGGAGGGTATTGGAGGAATAAGGGCCACAGCTGGACTTCTGAGGATAAATTTCACAGCCAGCAGGTGAGCTTCAGCACTCCCCATCCCTGCAAAAGAGGAGGGGGCAAAGGGACACGATAATCCCTGTTCCACCCATGCCCTTGTGCTTGGGAGCGCCATCAGTGCGTGCCCTGCGCTGGCCTTGGAGCCAAAGCAGAGCGGAGTCGGGCTCTCTTAGGGATATGAGTCAGGGGTGGGTTTATCAGTTTAGGGTTAATGGTTGGTGATCTTGGAGGGCTTTTCCGACCTAAGCGAGTCTGTGATTCATCTCAGTCCTTTCCCTCCTGCAGCTGAGCACAGCCTGTTAGTAGGGACTGATAAAACCTGAAACCCCAATCAGATGATGCGTGTTTGGAGGGAATGGCATTGATCTGGGAACATCTCGACCAACCTGGAGTCCTCCATGCAGAAGGTCGTGTTTGTCCCTTCTGTACACCTAGGACAGAGTCGTGAAGGAGCTGGGATAGCTCCTCGCCCTGCTCTTGCCCCCTGGGTGCTGGGCTGCCAGGCAAAATCTCCAGAACGGGCATTCTGGGCTGGAATTACCCCTCAGATCTGCAGCCTGTGTGAGCCAACTCGAATTACCCCTCAGATCTGCAGCCTGTGTGAGCCAACTCGAATTACCCCTCAGATCTGCAGCCTGTGTGAGCCAGCTCGCTTGCAGTTGGAGCTGCTTTAGGGGATGCTGTTTGTTTGCCCTTGCTCAGGGCCCTAAAAGGGTCTGTTCCGAGCTGTCCCCCACCAA